ATTGGTCTTAAAGGTACACCTTGTTTGTGGATTTTAGGTAAACCATACAGACTAGGTGTGGCCTCCCCTGGGTACAGTCTGTGGTACAGAAAACGGTCAATAGCCTTGTCCTGCTCCAAATTTTTCAGGCAATCTATTAACTTTTTCTTGTAACCACTTCCTGGATCTCTTTTCAGAGGTTCATAAGTGTTTGTCACTAAGGAGTGTCATAACTTTCTCATGATAGTCTTTCTGGTTCAAAATCACTGTGCACCTTTCTTTGTCTGCTGGGAGAATGATGATGTTTTTGTCCTTGCTAAGAGTGGTGAGTGCGTCCCTCTCCTCTCTACTGATGTTGGAAGGTGGTGGTTTGGCATTCAATGCCAGTCAGCTGGGATTTACCACTCCTCTGCAGTGGAATATTCTGGTTGCCTGGTAGACAACTCTCAGAGCCCTGAGTTCTGGTTATGTTTAAATGCTGGGTTCTGTGAACTCCATATTTTCTTTTTGTCTCTCGTCCGGCTTCTTAGTTGGCTGCTGACTGTTCTTCTCTCTCTGTTCTCTGAGTTTCTAGGATGTCTCTCTCTGAGATCAAGTGCAAAGACTTTTGAGTTTTTCTTAAAAGTGAAACTTACTGTCTGTGCTAAAACATTGGTTTGATTGGTCTACCTCGGGAAGAGGCGGTTCTAACTCTTGGCCTTGTTTTATAAATATAAAGTCCATTTTCTGCCTCAAAAAGTTACCTTCTAAAAGAGAAAATAAGACAAATGTATTATCTTAAGTGAGGATTACTTAAAACACACATTCTCATGAATAAACATTCAAAATATGACATCTTTAGAATTAAACTTAAAACATGCTATGTTTTAACAGAGGTGTCACTGTTGACTGTCCATCTCCTGGAAAGAGAATGTCATTAGAGGCTCTTTTTTTGTTGTTCCATCTTCATGGGAACAAGTCTGAGACAAGTACTCCTTTTCGATAAGGGAAGATATCAACCTAGCAAATTCGGATGTTTAGAAACTCTGAGGTCAGTTGAACGAAGCTCTCATTAAAAATCATCTCTCAGTTTATACAAAAGCCTTGGGTTAATGAGTTCATATTCTCAGGCGAGGTTAACACAATAACAGGGTTTTTTTTTTTACATTAGTGTCAACTTACAAAGTTTGTGAGCTGAGACAATGAATACAATATGACTGCTCATTCCCAAGGGAACAGATGAATCTTATTTTAACAGTTTCTAACACAAAACACAGGACTGGTGTTTGTTTCAGGTGAGGTGAACTCTTTCTGAGATGAGGTATCCCCCTGCAATCTTAACATGAGTTTTTTATCTTTCCTCCTAGTGAGGGACCTGCTTGCCTCCATTTTGGACCTGCCATTCTGTCTTTGTCTCTTTCTCTTTTCTGTCCTCTAAAACCCAGCAAGTCAAAGCAGATGGCTGCTTGTCCTGAGCCTGGTTCTGCTGGAGGTTTCTTCCTGTTAAAGAGAGTTTTTTTCCTTTCCACTGTCTCCTTTGCGCTTGCTCAGGATGGGAGACTGTGATGAAGTGAAGATTCAACACAATCTGCTGGCTGCGCTACCTTACCTTAGATTAAATAATGTTACTAATTGAATTTTTATGTATGTGAATGTTTCTGTTCAGTGCCCTGAGATGACTTCTGTTGTGACTTGGCGCTATATAAATAAACTGAATTGAACTGAAATTGTCTTTGAAGGGAGTCAACATACTCACTTGTAGACTCTGGCGTTGTACTTCCTCTCCCCCGGGAAACCAAACATTCCACAGATGACCCTGCTGTTTAACTGAGTCCATTTTGTGTTACAAATCTGCTTCCATTTGCCATCATCCTTCACCTCCACGTAGCCCTCCGTGACTGGGATTCGTTTACGGTTTGATGACAGAATGGCTCGTATGCGCACATCCTCCACATGAATATCAAGGTTCTGCAGGAAAATACAGACACAATTTGTTTTTTACTGTCTGTTTAGCAAACAACATGATGCAGATTTTCTAAACGAATATAAGGAAATATGACACGTGAAGACAAACAAGTGCAGAATGACTGCTGAACTTTGCTAAATAAGCTGAAACTCACATGTTAAGGCTAAAGGAAACAATGCTAACTAAAAGTCCAAGCGAGCAAAACTGTAACTAAAAGCTAAAAGTAGAAAAAGACAAAACAGTTTTAAAAAGTGCATTTCATGTGAAAATGCAGTGTGAATGCTTATTACTGAATGATTTTGTTAAACGCTGCTCAAAAAGCTAAAAATTATACGAAACACACCAAAACTAAAATTGGAAAGAAAAAGCTTCCCAAAGCACAAGAAAACAAACAAACCTAAAAATAAAATTATTTACAAAGTAAAGCTAGCATGAGTACAAGTGGTGTTAATAGAATTACCATGAACAAGGAAGAACTAACACAACCCAAGTAGAATACAAATAAAATGCAGGGCCAAATCTAGCAGAAGAATGGGAAGAAAGAGTAAAATAAATAAATAAATAAATAAATAAATAAATAATAACACTGTAGAATTATCATAAGCAGAGTGGAAATGTCAACAAAAAAGGTCAAATTATGTCATCTGGACCAGTTCCTTTAAGTGAGAAATGGCATTAACAAGGCAGAATGTTAGTACAGATCAGGGCAGAATTAACAATCAGGAATGGGTTAGTGTAAGCAGGGCTAAATAAGCATCCATCCATCCATTATCTTTACCCGTTTATTCCATTTTGGGTCACGGGGGTCGCTGGTGCCCATGTCCAGCAATCACTGTGCGAGGGGCGGGGTACACCCTGGACGGGTCGCAAGTCCATCACAGGGCCACATAGAGACAAACGAGACAAACAACCATTCACTCTCTCACTCACACCTAGGGACAATTTAGAGTTACCAATCAGCCTAACATGCATGTTTTTGGTCTGTGGGAGGAAACCGGAGCACCCGGAGAAAACCCACGCATGCACGGAGAGAACATGCAAACTCCACCCAGAAAGGCCCCTGGACCGGGGTTTGAACCAAGGACCTTCTCGCTGAGAGGCAGCAGCTCTACCAGTTGCGCCACCGTGCTGCCCCTAAATAAGCATTAAAAGGGTAAAATATTAGCAAAAACAAGGACCATTTGGCTTTAGCAGAAGCTAAAGCTTATTAGCATAAAAAGTAGGTTTTAGAAGAGATGTTCAAGGCTCCATTCATTTTCAAAAAAGCTTAGCATTTCAAAAAGTGCATATGGCAACAATACCAAAAGTAAATGTCCTTAACGCAAAAAAAATTCTGATATGAGAAAGGCTTAAATAGCTCAAAAAATGCAGAAGGAGATATATACAGAAGGATGGCAACAATAAGAAAGCGAAACAGAAAAACAATAGTGTGAATCCTTGCTAAATATAATAGCAGATTTGAAGGGAATGTTTTTAAATGAATTGAAAACACTAATATATATATCGATCAGAATTATATATAATTCCATTCAGTTCAGTTTATTTATATAGCACCAAGTCACGACAGAAGTCATCTCAGGGCACTAAACAGAAACATTTATATATAAAAATAATGTTAACAGAAACATTCATATATAAAAATAATAATTTAACACTCCAATAATGCTCAGTCAGGTCATCTGAACAGTTTCTGTTTTGTAGAGACGATTCTCCCTCTCTCCGGAGGGCTTCTTCAGTCTGAGGAGTTCTAAGTAGTAAGTAAGTAAATTTTATTTATAAAGCACTTATCACAGACATAAAATCACAAAGTGCTGTACAATAAAAACCGATGCTAAAATATACAAAGAATAAAACAAGCATAAGAACTACAAGAAGCACAGTAAAATCATGACATAAAAGCCTGGGAGAATAAAAGTGTTTTCAGTTGCCTTTTAAAAACCTCAACAGAGTCAGCCAAACGAAGTTGCAGGGGCAAACTGTTCCACAGCCTTGGAGCCACTGACTGAAAGGCCCTGTCCCCTTTAGTTTTCAGCTGTGTACGTGGAACATCCAAGAGGTTCTGTGACTAGGAGCAAAGGCCACAAGCAGCAGAGTATTTGGTTAAAGCTGACAAAGATACACAGGAGCCTGGCCGTTTAAAGCTCTGTACGTCAGCACAAGAACTTTAAAATGGATTCTAAACTCGACTGGGAGCCAGTGTAGTGAATATAGAACTGGGGTGATGCGACAGTATTTGCTGGATTTGGTGAGAAGTCTGGCAACTGCGTTCTGTATTATTTGTAGACGTGAAACAGAAGACTTGTCCAGGCAGGTAAAAAGGGCAGTGCAGTAGTCCAGACACGATGACACAAAAGCGTGAGTAATTTTCTCTAGGTCAATTCTGGAGACTATAGGTCATATTTTAGAAACGTTTCTTAAATGAAAAAAAACAAGAACGGGAAATAGCTCTTATGTGAGACTCAAAGCCTAATGATGAGTCAGATGTGACCCCTAAATGTTTTACTTTTGATTTGGCTACTGGACAGAAAGAGGCAATTTTATGATTGGTGATTGGGAGCAGTAACCAAAATCTCTGTCTTACTGGTGTTTAAAACCAATAAGTTACTGGCAAGCCAGTCCCTGATATGGGACAATCATTGGACAAGGATGGCCAATTTATCCAGCTGGTGTGGTCTAAAGGAAAAATACAAATGAATGCCATCAGCATAAATGTGATAGGAAATATCATAAAAGGATTGAATAATGCCGGCAAGTGGGATAATATAAAAGGAAAACAAAAGTGGACCCAGAACTGAGCCTTGTGGCACCCCACAAGTTAAGGGGGCATAATCAGAGGAGAGCCTGTCCGTCTTGATGCAGAAAGTTCTGTGAGATGGGTATGATGTGAGCCAGTCCAAAGCTGAGCCAGAAATACCAGCCTATAAAAACTGTTTCCCCACCAAGCAGCAAATTCCTTAAGTGGACCAACCAGTTTTCTGGCAATAAGATGGTTTTGGGGGTTGTCCTATCCCTCGTCGACTCCTCCCAGGCAGGCGGCCACAGCCAAAGTGGTTCAAGGCAACAAAGTTCATGCCCAGTCATCCAGGTACCACATTCAGTAATGCTCAGTCAGGTCATCTGGACAGTTTCTTTTTCAGACCTGACTGAGCATTATTGGATTTGGTACCTGATGAGTCCAGCTACAGGCAAGAGGTGGAACACCTGGAGAGCTGGTGCAAACAGAATAACCTTCACATCAATGTGAAGAAGACAAAGGAGATGATTGTGGACTTCTGAAAGAACAAACTCACCTACTACCCCCCTGACAATAAGAGGATCTGCGGTGAAAGTGGTCTCTAGCTACAAGTACATGGGTGTGCACCTGAACAACAACATTAGCTGGGGCAACAACACTACCAGCCTGATCAAGAAAGCTCATCAGAGTCTCTACTTTCTCAGGCGGCTGAGACGAGCTGGACTGGGAAGCTCAGTCCTCACCTCCTTCTACAGGTGTGCAGTGGAGAGCATCCTGTGCTCCAGCATCAACGTGTGGCATGGAGGCTGCACAGCTGCAGAAAGAAAAGCTTTGCAGAGAGTGGTGAAGGCTGCACAGAAGACTGTTGGAGTCAGCCTCCTCACCGTCACAGACATTTACATTTCTAGATGCAGTAAGAGGGCCACCTGCATCATAAAGGACCTCACTCACCAACCCTTAGCCAACCCTAACTATACGATTTATTAAAAAGGAAAGTCTTAAGCCCAGTCTTAAAACTGGACAATGTGTCAGCCTCACGGAAAGAAACTGGAAGTTGGTTCCACAAAAGAGTCTGATAACTGAAAGATCTTCCTCCCATTCTGCTTTTGTGAACTCTAGGGACCACGAGTAAGTCTGCAGTCTGAGAGAAAAGTACTCTGTTAGGAAAATATGGAACAATAAGATTTTGAATATAAGATGGAATTAGGTTGTTAAGAGCTTTGTAGGTTACAAGTAAAGCCTCCAGTATACTCGGGCATACCTCAGTCCGCGTACCTCAGTCCGCGGAAGTCCGCGCGAACTGGATTAGACTCAAAGCTGATGCCCACAGAGCATGTCCGTGCAAAGCTCAATTTTTACAACTGCGTACGCATACTCGGTGTTGCACAATTAACTGCACGGCGATGGACTGTTTTGTATGTGACACCAATTAATTAAATTCTCCTTCTTCATCCCTGATCTAGTTTAATGGACTTTTTTTGTGTGTTTTGTTTTTCCAAGAGGCAAGCGATCTTTTTCTTCTCCTCTGTTGACGTCATGACTGAAATGGTGAGAAATGACAGAATTTGTAAAGAGCTAATTAAAATCAGGTCCAGCGTGGCTGCGGGAGGGTCTGGAGATTTCCTGGTGGGCTGGTCTGATGTGTGGGCTGCAGGACCAGCATTCCCTGTTTTTTTTTTAATTTTTTTTATTTTTAGAACTTTTTATTAACAACATGCTTGTCGAGTCCACGTAGGAAAAGGTCTGCACGAGTATACTGGAGCCTTAAGATTTTTAATTCAATTCTGAATTTGGGGCAGCATGGTAGCACAACTGGTAGAGCTGCTGCCTCTCAGCGAGCAGGTCCCCGGTTCAAATCCCAGTCTGGGTGCCTTTCTGAGTGGAGTTTGCATGTTCTCTCCGTGCATGCGTGGGTTTGCTCTGGATACTCCGGTTTCTTGCCACAGACCAAAAATATGTATGTTAGACTGATTGGTAACTCTAAATTGTCCCTAGGTGTGAGTGAATGGTTGTTTGTCTCTATGTGGCCCTGTGATGGACTGGAGACCTGTCCAGGGTTTACCCTGACCCTCGCACAGTGATTGCTGGACATGGGCACCGGTGGCACCGGTGACCCAGTCACCCAAAATGGAAGAAGCGGGTAAAAGATAATGGATAGATTGAGTTCTGAATTTGACAGGGAGCCAATGGAAAGAAACTAAAACTGGAGAGATATGATCTCTCCTACTAACTCCAGTTAAGACTCTGGCAGCAACATTTTCGATCAAC